CGTTGCTTTGTACAATTTAATAATATTTCGATTTGTTAACACTGTCAGCGATCTGGGAAGCATTTTGGCCTTAAACGCAAACGAATGATCACTTTTCTTATTTCGTCAGAAACAGCTTTACCACGAGCCGTTTTTAATTGTTAACAACAAACCAATGCATTTAAACGACAAAAATCAGCTGCTTAGCAACGTAAAATAATGTTATCGTTCGTATTACAAAGTCTACCTTCATTTCATACAGGGTGTAAATAGGTGTAAAACACTTTAGGAGGTGATAGTACAGCCCCTTTGCTATCGAAATTAGTATATAATACCATACCCTATATTCAAAGGTTGAAAAGTTATTGAAGATTTAAGATTTTTTTAAAAACAATCCATATTTCAGAGTAAAAAAGTCGAGAGAGAAAAAAGTTGGCGATTAAACATTTGTTTCTTGTGGTTTTGGGTTATTATTTCAATAATTAACTATTATAAATTAAAAAGATTCGAAAACAATACCAAACAACGTATTTATTTTCATTCAAAAATGTTTAACTAAGAAAAACAAATAACGTTTAACAGTAAGTAAGGTGTTTCACAAAAAAATCAGTATACAAAAAAACGTATAAACAATTTAAATAATATCCTTGTTTCATAAGGAATCTAAATTGGTATGATAAGTGCACAAAAACTGTGTGGAACTAAACATAATGTATTGTAATACAACAATAGGGAGTAAATTTACCAATGGCTTGTCTCCTATATTCACAACTCTCTGATTGATAAGAAAGTGTTTTTGTGAAAATAATGTAACTGTAAGCTATGGGATAGTTATTATTTTAAACTACGGTTAAGTTACACCATTAGATTATTTACACAGTTGTAATTGTACTACAGAATAATAAAAACTGAATAAAAGTTACTACAATTGGTAAGTAAAATACAATAATGAAATGAAGGTAAAATTCATTGCAATTGTTGTTCGAACTGACGCCCGCCGTTTCTTATGCAAGCCCGTAGTCTTTTTCTCATGTTGGTACGCGTGATGCGGCCAGTTAGTTGTCCTGTGATAGTGTCAGCAGCAGCAATAATTCTTTCTTTCAACTGTGCAAGAGTGTCTATGGGCTCAGCGTACACCAGTGACTTCATGTGCCTCCATAAATAATAGTCACACGGTGTTAAATCTGGGCTCCTCGCTGGCCACGGTGTCGGTCCACCTCGGCCAATCCAGCGACTAGGATATTTCTCGTCCAGCCACTGTCTAACACCCAGACGGAAATGCGCGGGACAGCCATCGTGTTGGTAGATCATCATCTGCATCCTGATATTCAGAGGCAGGTCTTCGAGATACTCCCAGAGTTCGGATCTCAAAAAGTTTTCATAGGATTCGCCATTCAGGTTGTCAGGCAAAAAAACTGGTCCAATTAGATACGTATGAATGATTCCCATCCACACGTTTGCCGAAAACCTTCTTTGATGGGCTTTGCCATGTGTGGATTTGCCTCTCGTGGGGCCCAATAATTTAAGTTGTGATAATTTGTTGTCCTCTCTCTGTTAAACTTAGACTCTTCGGTCCACAATATTAAATAGTAGTTTTCTTCTTGATCCCGATGAAGCATGTATCGACAAAAATCAATTCTTCTTGCGGGATCTCCTTCTTCTAATACTTGAACCGGTGTGTAATGAAAAGGGTAAAGTCTCGCCGAATGCAAAACGAACCAAACTTTCCACTGAGTTAAACCGAGCTGCTTTGCTATAACTCGTGTAGACGTCGTCGGGTCTCTGCCGTAGCATTCCAGTATTGCCTCTCGATCTTCGACGTCAAACAACCGAGGTCTACCAGCATCATGACGTCTCTCATGAACCTGTCCACTTTCCTTGACGCGTTGGTACACAGAAACAAATACTCGATGACTCGGTATTCGCCGATTCGGAAAACGGTTTTCGTATTCTCGCCTGGCTTCAACGGAATTTCCATCACTTAAACCATAACAAAACAGAATATCAGCGTATTCTTCGTTACGGTAACTCGCCATTATTAAAACTGATCGAAAAAGTAAAAGTACGTCCTACCGCGTTAAAGGCTGATATTCTACTAACCTAAGCGTTAGTTCCCTTTCCTTGATCCGTCAGCTGTGTCAATTCATAACACACGCAGGGCTTGCTTGGGAGGAGCGACGACAGATTCCGAATACTTAAACCCGAATAACGGCACAGGGCACAAATAATAACAAAAAGGGTCGAACCATGAAAGGCTCGGTTTACCTGCGCAGTACAATGAAATGCGCTTTCTAGCAAAATAATATTGTTTTGTTAAATGGTTTACTTACTGATATATTATACCATTTTAGAAACCTAATGAAACGAGTTTTTGCAGTTATTTGTACATTTTCTTTATTATGATTTTTTTGAAAAAAAAAACTTCTTAATGTGAAAGTTGAAAATAAAAATTTAAAATATGTTTTCAGTAGTGTTTTCATATGTTTTTTAATTTATGAGAATTACTTATTTAAATAATAACCTGAAACCACCAAAAAAAGAATGTTTAATCACCAACTTTTTTTATCTCAACTATTTTACTCTGTAATCTGGGTTGTTTTTTAAAAAAATCTTAAATCTTCAAAAACTTTTCAACCTTTGAATATAGGGTATGGTATTATATACGAATTTTGATAGCAAATGAAGCTGTACTATCACCTCCTAAAATGTTTTACACCTATTTACCTGTCACCCTGTATACGAGGGCGCTTCAATAAGTACCCGCGTTAGAAATGAAGAAACTACTTTTTCAAAAAAATTTCTTTTTATTTTTCAACGTAATCCTCTTTTAGAAAGACACACTTTTCCCAACGTTCGTTTTACCAATATCTAACTGTGGTCATAGATGGCGAAGTGTCCGCATAAACAGCATCCAACTTTGCTTTTATCTCCTCGCATTTTTCCCATCCAAAAACAAAAAGCGAATTACCGAACGATACTGCTCTTTTTCCATCTTAGCGAAAATCACGCGTTACTCGAATGGCTGCCAAATCCAAACTAACCTGTTGTTGTGCCGTCCCTTGATAGATGGCGGCACACGATGGTAATATCAACTTCCCTCAGGAACGCCCTCATTCGTCAAACACGGGTACTTATTGAACCGCCCTCGTACAAATCATTTTGCAAAGAAGACAACTTCGAAATAAATACGCGTCGGTTTTGTTATCTTTCCATAAATTTCAAAAAAAATATATACAGGGTGTTTCAGTTTATTGTTGCATAACTTTAAGATTCGATAGAACTTTTAATATTAATGCATAAAGTCTATATAAACATGGGTCGAAAAATGCGTGGCTTCCGAAATACAGGGTGTTTAAATTTACTGTCTAAAATAGTTTTTTTTTAAATATTTCGAACAATATTTGATGTATAACACGACAAAACGAACCATGGGCATAGTTTTACTGAAGCCACTACAGGGCGCTCTCTACTGTAACTGTAGTGTATTAAAATGACCAAAAAATTTTTCTTAGTGCAATTTTTTGCTATTTGAATAAAAAACTGATTCTTCGCACTTTTCAACATAAAAAAGCTCTCCTGTCAGTTTTCGTTATAGTTAGCCGTTTTTGAGATATTTCGATTTTTAGGGTTCGATGCATTTTTAATTATTTATGGGAAAATAATATTTTTTTTTACATTTTCGATTTAGGCATTACAAGTAATTAAGATGGTCGTTTAGATTGTGTTTTTAAACACAGCAATAATTCCTAATTCCAAATAAACACAAAAAAACAGAATATTAATTTGTTTAATTTTCCAATATTATTTTTAACAAATTAAATTAATTATTTACAACTAAAATGTTATGGGATAGTTAGGACAAACATACAGAACCTAAAGTAGTTGCTCGAAATGTAAACCCAATTGTTCAATACACAATTCACATCTAGTAAATCTGCGCTGACGAACATTTATGTTTTGATCCCTTTGGAGATTTCCAAAACCATTTTCAATTATTTGGCGATGCACTCTTACAAATACTGAGCGAGTTGGATGTCGTCTGTTTGGACATCTTCGTGCATATTCTCTGGCTGCTTCTGCTGCGTTTCCATTTACAAAGCCATACACAAAATGAATATCCGTTAACTCCTGATTGGAGAATAAAAATGGCATTTTTATAAAACTTACAAAAAAAAAACAGGTAAACAGGTAAAAGAAACTAACTTTCGTGCATTCACAATTGCAAAAAAACGTTTCAGGCTTCAACAGACAACAAAACTAACTGTCAACTAATTGACGTTTAACCTTATTCTGCTTTCAATTTCAAAATATTTGCAGGCACAGCCTACTTCTAAAAATTATCGAGATACTGATTTTTTAACGTTATTTTATCATAAATAATTAAAAATGCATCGAACCTTAAATATCTCAAAAATGGCTAACTATAACGAAAACTCACAGGAGAGCTTTTTTATGTTGAAAAGTACGAAGAATCAGTTTTTTTATTCAAAAAGCAAAAAATTACACTAAGAAAAAATCGGTCATTTTAATACACTACAGGTACAGTAGAGAGCGCCCTCAAGCGGCTACAGTAAAACTATGCCCATGGTTCGTTTTGTCGTACCAAAAAACCCTTGTATACCAACTGTCACTGTTATACATCAAATATTGTTCGAAATATTTAAAAAAAAACTATTTTAGAAAGTAAATTTAAACACCCTGTATTTCGGAAGCCACGCATTTTTCCACCCATGTTTATATAGACTTTATGCATTAATTTTAAAAGTTCTATCGAATCTTAAAGTTATGCAACAATAAACTGAAACACCATGTATTTGAAATAAAATTTTAATTATCCCTCATATAGATTCACAAATATCATGTTTTGGGGTGTTGGGCCAACTTCACTGAGACAGGGCTCATATACGCTATGTAAAGGAAAGTTTATAATTTTGAAAACACTCTGTTTAGATAAACAATAGGCGGTATCCGATTTTGCAATTTTATTTTTGCATATACATATATCTTGACCTACATATTTACTAATCGTTGTCTTTTGTTTCTTTTCCTATCCTCTTCTCTACACGTACACTGTTCACCAACCGTCCTGGTCTGTACATCTAAAAAAAAAATATCACATCGATGTTATGCGCATGCCACGTAACACCTTTGTCTGTCACTACACCTGTCTTTGTCTATATGTCTGTAACGTCGCTGTTCGTGCTATCAAGACTGTTCACACGGCACCGATCGTCCCGACCCGTTAGACGAACCTTATTTTACTTCACTAACACCTAGAGATAACCACGGCGTTCTGGACACTCTCGCCGCTAGTCCTTTTGAGATCCCAGTCCGTACTGTCACTACCCAAGATCATCTCATTCTTGACTCCTGTAGTTTCACGCCGATCCACAACCGGTCACGATTAGGCCTGGATAATTTGGACTCCACTGAAGAATGTGTCTTCTCGGAATCAGAGGAGGTTAACGTCATTCAACAGTTTGACAAAGAGCAAACCTTTGCTGGAAATGAACGTAAATCTTTAATCTGTGAGTCACGATCAGAAGGTGATGCAGAGGAGTCAAAGCCATCGAGCGAATTAGGCCATAGTTCACAGCCTTTGCGTGAATTCGGTTTGCGTTTTACCTTTAATGAGGTTGCTGCTTCTATTAACACAATCGCACTAGATTTGAAACAAGATAGCTGTCAAGAGACAGCATCAGTAGAATCGGTGTCAGGCTCTTCTGATGTCAGTACGAAGGTTCAAACGACTAGTATTCGTTGCCCCAGCCCTCATGAAGCTCTAAACCTGAGAAATCGCTATGACAGTTCGATATCAGGATCGCTTGAGGTGGAACTGAGCGATTCTGAGTTCTCAGCAACTGTTGATAAATCTGATTTATCTTCGATCCCCTCCAACGACGCTAGCATGCGTACAGACACGTTCACATCGACGTATGACCAGTCTGAGTTGAGCTTTGTATCAGGCCCGTACGAATTGGATCCTAATGACTTGGAGTCTCAACGATTGGCATTAGGAAGCTCTCAGGATTGGAACAGAGCTTGCTATGCTTTTAACAGACCGGAGTTGAGTCCGATATCAGGGTCTTTCGACATGGATCCCTAGCGATGTGGATTCCCTGAGCAATGCTCGGAAATCGGAGAGATCGTCGACCGCGAGTTCCAGGCCGTTGAGCGCCACGAACGAGCTGCCTTTGACGGAGTTGAACTTAGCTTTGTTCACGTCCAAATTGGAGAACAGCAATTCGTCGATTATGAGTACAAACGAGTTGCCTTTGTCCGATATCAGGTTCGGTAATTTCAGGAGGCAAAGTACGATCGATAGTCAGAAGGACGATTTGTCGATGGAAGTGAATTGGGACACGGATGTCAATAAAATGGACGAGGCGGTGTGTCAAGTGGCGGAGTCCAGGCATCGGTCCTTCTCCGATCCCAATATCCTCGACGGTACTGCCGGCAACGTACGATGGTTATCGGACAAGCATTTTCTGCTGAAAAAATACAACGACAGCCTATTCGAGCAGACCCGCAACCAGCTACCCGTCCCCTCTTCTCTCGCTTGCTACCCGTACAGCTTCTATCCGGAACACGCCCCGGAGGCGGGTTGTCCGGTGTGTCGCTATCGCGGAGGCGGTCTCGCGTATCCTTATCCGCCACCCTCTTTCGTCGTTACCGCTCCCACCACCACTTGCATGTCATCGTTAGCAGATTGCGGCCAGGCGGGGGGCGTCGGTGCCCCAGGCGTCTACGGACAGGGCAAACGCCATCGGCACAGCATCGCCGGACAAATGAACTATTCCAAGGTGTTCGGCATCGGGATGGCAGGACCGACCGGTTTGAAGAAATTGATAGGCGGCAGCGCGAATTCGCTATTCTCCACCGCCGTCATTTCGGGTAGTTCCAGCGCGCCGAATCTCAGGGATATGATTTCGAACACGAGCAGCGCCACCGGTAAGTATCGAGGATGAGCGGCTAGCGTACGCTCGAGGAATCGACGGCGTACCCAGCTCAAAAATGTTTGGTTCCACAAATACCTAACTATGTTTGATATTTTTATTTCTATTTGCAATTCATTTATGCAAGGTTTATTGGCTAAGAGTACGGGATATGATTCCTTAGCACATTTTAGGAAGAAAAGTTTATATGAACGTACAGTAATGGACAAAAGTATATAGACAAATTAATATTGTGCTGTATTTCTTTTTAACTTGTTTTATTAATACACCAACCTGTATACATAATTCGTTATAGCATAATACTCACTTATACATAAATAAACTCTTTAGACTCCTTACAATAAAAAATTATTAAAAAACACTGGAACTATGAAGGACAAAAATATATAGACAATGCAAAACAATTATAGAAAAAAGAACCAAAGTTCATTGAATTATAGAAAACCAACCATGTTTGTGTTAATATTTTGTAGCATAACCATTATTGTCAATCACCGCCTGGTATCGTCTCGGCATAGATTGTAGAAGTTCCTTGATATAAGATTCATCAATCTGTCTCAACTTTTGCTCTAAATGGCAAAAAGTGTATCCTTTTTTGAATAATGTTTATGTCGTATTTGCTTATCTAAGTATTCCCATAGATTTTCAGTGGGGTTTATATCAGGGAAACTGAGTAGGCCATTTGAGAAGAAGAATTTTTTTGCGAGATTTGAAGTGTGCTTCGGGTCATTATCTTGCTGGAAGATTGTTCTTAAGGGCATATTGTCTTCCATAAATCATAACATGACATGCTTTAGTATGTCTGTGTATACAAACTTATCCATAATGCCATCTATGTAAAGGTCCCATCCCAAACCCCGAAACGCACTCCCAAACCATAACAGACTCGCCTCCATGTTTGGCAGTGGGCAAAGTGTACTTGGGGTTCAATTTTGTCCACTAGGACGTCTAACGTAATGAACACTGTCTGATCCAAACATTTTGAACATGGATTCGTCAGTGAAACAAACCCTCTTCCAGTCACCGATGCTCCAATCAAGATACCTTTTTGTTTATATTTGTTCAATATTGTCGAGTTGACGTTGACCATCTTTGTATAACTCAATGATCTTAGTTTTCATTTGAAAGAAATTTCTTAAAATCACTAAACTTATTCCACAATACTTGATGAACACAAACTAATCCTCTTCTAACACGAAACTGTACTAAACTAATGTTGAAAAGCATTTGTCTACATATCTTTGTCCCTCGTAAAAAAGTGCTTATATTCAGACTATTGTGTTCAACGCAGATAATGTAAAAACAAGGAATTTAGTGTTTCTACTAATAACGCATTTATTTATGGAGCAATGATCTAAAGGTATTTAGGTAAATATTCATATTTGTCTATATACTTTCGTCCATTACTGTATGTCCTAAACCTTTCAACTTTTGAGCTACAGGGTGTTAAAATTTTGAGAAAAAATTCGTTATCTCACAACTTTGAAATTTGACACGCAGCTACTAAGCAATAATAGGCATTTTTGAAATATTTTTTAATACTTACCAGTGGAGTCCTTATGAGATTTTATTTTCTTAATAAAAGAGGCACATCCTCAAGCAAAATTGGCAAATCGTTTTCAAGAAAGTGTCGATAGAATTGGTCCATTATGGAAAATTCGAATGAAATTGCAGGATACAGTAGCTTCATCAGTAAAAAGTATGTTGATATCAAATAAAGTGTTTTCCTAAAAACCATCGGCATAAATTTAAACGCAATGGAAAATCACGCGGCAGTTAGTGCTTGAACTCTTTGGATATGATAGGGGTATAGAAATTATCAACAAGTATTTTTCGAATAAGAAAATGGTAAACATTAAGCAATTACCGGAATTTTCCTAGTGATTGTTTCTGGGTGTTCCTCAATTGTGTTCAAAACAGCTTCCTCTAATTTTGGTATTCTCAAAGTGCGATGTACCCCTTCGGAACTACTATCAATGCTAAGACTCTCAGTTTCACGTATTCTTCTGTGTATTCTAGAAAACATTCTGGCATCGGGAATGATACGATTTGGATACGGCTCTTGATATACAGGGTAACTTTGAAGTTGAGTCATTAATTTTCAGATAATGATAGTAGAAGGAAGATAAACCAGAATATGTGTGTAAAAATAAAAAAAATCTACCTTGTTTTATAAAGTATCCTCCCGACAAGTACTTCAGTGCGGACCTGTATTTGATCGTGAGGTCTTGGAGCACCGGCATGCCGTCCCCTGTGAGGTCTTAAGTCACCTGATTCACGAGCCCGTTGTACTACATTAACAAAGGCACGAGGGGTTGGTTGCACTCGATTGGGAAACCGATCCGCATAAACTTGTGCCATTTTTTATTTCGTTTGAGCCACGCAACAGACACCACTATTCACTCACGCGTTACCGACTGACACTGACTGTATACAACTGAATAAAATAATTGTAAAAACATCGTTCCAAATTGTTTCGTTTTTTTGTTTCCGATGCGATGAACCGATAAGGCGGATTATATCCGTTGTTGCCAAACACGAGCACATAATATTATTATTGAGACAGGGCGGTACTCAAACTTCCAAAGGGCTATGACTTTGTTACTTGAATTCTACCAGAAAAATGGTAAAGGAAAAAAACATTTCTTTTGATCAGATCTACTCACTGTTAAAATAAATGACTCAACTTCGAAGTCACCCTGTATATGATTATAGCCATAAGCGCATTCCCGTCAACAAGTCCGTAGGTAAAATACATATCTGCTAACTCAGAATTTGTAAATCTTTCAATAGTTTACTTATTTTCTCTTTATTATTGAAGATATAAGAAACTGTCACAATCAGTGGCGCTCCCAGGATTTCAGTCTGGGAGGGGTAAAATGGAAAGTAAATTCTCAGTGTGACGTACTGAAGTGTTATAATGATTTAACATTAAAAACATGAACATATGCAGACATATGAATTTGTTACAGTAATTTCTGTAGAAAATACATACAATTTTTTTTAATTTTGAATCATACGGCAATCTTCATATATTAAGACAAAAATGCAAAATAATATAATCGGCCGGGGGTGGTAATTACATGAAATGGTTTTTATTTTTTACGCGAAAACAGTGCATCGGACGAAAAAAGGTCGAGAGTTCTAAGTTATTGCAAAATAAATGAGGATCTCAGTGTACGCCACTGGTAGAAATATTAAAAAATATTTTGCAACAAAAAATGCCTCTTGGTACAAGTCAAATTTCATGAAAAAATCTAGAACAGTATGTTAAGAAATCGAATTTTTCTTAAAATGTTTACACCCTGTAGCTCAAAAGTTAAGAGGCTAGGGACATATGTTCATATAAACTGTTCTTCCTAAAATGAGCTAAGGGATCATATCCTGTATTTTTAGCAATCAATTAAATTACACCCTGTATCGTGTCATCCACGTCGTAAAGCTGTCCCCCCTTGCCCCCCTGGGTACGCCCTTGAAAGGAATGGAATGTGGTGTGTGAAGAAACAAAAGGATTTTAGGTAGACATAACAGTCTTTTTACTCACTAAACGACAATCGATGATTTGTGTTGCTCTTATGAAAATTGTGTTAAAGCAATATGGGGAAGGTATCATGCTGACTATTAAATTAAGGTCGATGTATAAACTTAATAAATAATAATAATAATAGTATTTCTTTAATCAACGAATCATCGACTTCGTCAATCTAGCGTCAGTTTTGCAGACGAACGTTGCGGAATTCCTGTTTATAAACAGTTTAAGTCAAAGTCAAACGCATGATTCAAGTTCTTCATTACGGCATCGGTACGGGAGTGGTGCGGAACATGAAAGTTTATAAATCGACCTTTTCTACATTATTTACTGGGGCTATCTACAAGGTGTTCCCAAAATACGGGATGAAAATTCGAGGGTGATTCTTGGGTTATTTGATTTGTTCGTTTTTTGCTGATTTCCAACATACCGTTTTAAAAGAACATCCTAGGGCTGCCGAACAATTACTTGTTTTTCTCACACATACATACAGCAGCGCTTATATGAAATTTCAGTGCCCCTGAATCTGCTCAGTTATGTAGTGGTCCGATTTACAGATACTAGGTGAGAAAGGTAAGTAAAATAAGATAACTTTACTTAAATTCTTGAAACCTTATTACAAAGTTATATTCCGCATTGCCAGGCCTCAACTAAATATTTCGTCTTGAAGATACAATACGCAACCGGAATTCAGTTTTTTATAAAACACTGTAAATATAGTCATTTTTGATAACAGATTCTCAATCAGCGACCCTAAAACCATCTGATATTAAGTTTCAGGTCACTTCACCAATGTTTAAGGCGTTTGTACGACTTTTTGTGAAAAATAGTATAACTACTAGCGTCGTATTGTGACTACATTTTCAAAATTTCGTTGAGTTATGGAATGTTTATAAAATGTTATTTATGAAAAACAAATTTCCAATGGCACTTCGAAAATGGTCAAAGAACAAAATGTCTTGGAATAGCCCAAAGAATCACTCTTTAAATGTTTGCACCATCTGTATACTACTCAAAAATAAAATAATCTTGCGTTCTTTGATATCTTCACATAGCACGTAACATTCCTGAAATATTTTTTCACGTCAAGCTTGAATTGTTTCAAAAAAGTTGGATAGATGAAATTGGAATTTTGTTTTGCGGATCGTCTTGATTCTATACGGTTCTTTGTTTAGATATCCACAGATAGTCAAAACGCTATTTTTTTTTTATTGCGAGATAAATATCTATTCATTATCAAACTGTCGCATGGATGATGTAACAACTAATAAAAATTCAAACCACGTGATATGGTGTCAAAGTATTAGAAAATCCTAATTTCACCTGTCTTTGCTTTTTCTTCTAAGATCCCATAACGCTCTTCCCCAATAAAGTCAAAGTTTGTTAACAGAGAAAGATCTTAAACTAGAATTGCCTACTCCCAAAATGATGTTTTAAATACCCCCTGAATAACTTACATCCATAAAACCATTTATTTCGCAATCCAGGAAATTTTTCGTGCCGTATTCTTTGCGTCAGTCTGAATGTATGCAATCCTAGTTGAACATTTTTCTGTTAACGAGCTATGGGTTTATTCGGGTGTATAAAGCGATATGGGATCCTCCCAAAGAAACGTCCAAATTTAAATGACAATTTTAGCAATAGAAGGTTGCGGCGGTGTACCATCCATCCGTCCGCTAGAAACACTGCATAACGCGCTATCGCTGAGACAGCTGGACTCCTTCCTGGATCGTATGACGTCAGCGCCTCTATTCCGAACGCCATCGTCAACGCCGCCCAAGTATCCCTCAACACCGCTGCCCACACCAACCGCCTCGCTGACGGCCAAATCGCAGCCTCTCACACCCAGCAACAGTAAGTATTGAACGAAGAAACTACATACGGGGACGTCAAGCCGAAACCGGGTGATAGGCAAAGTCATAACAGCTATCAGAAAAATATTTAAAGAAATTTTATGTATGTGTTTTGAAAATTATAGGTCTTTGAAAAAGATATAGAAATTTCACACCCTACGGCAGTCTGTCAACTCCTGTTACTACAAATATTAACTTTTTTTGGATCTTATTTTTACAATGTAATGATGAATACATCTTCAAACTGGTGTCTCAACCTTACTGCCAACTTTTCTCGTTCAGGAAAAATTGCCACTTATTTCCCAACCAAGTATTCCAAAGTAAAACTTTGCTCAACTTTAACTGGCTGTACTGGAAAAAATGTACTACGAGAGTTTGGCAAGTAACCTTAAAAGTTGGCGCATTTAATAACGATTCCAAAATGGTATAACACTTAGAAGATTACTCGTTTACTCATGCACAATTTTGAAAAATTTTCAAAATTTCCTAATTAAACAGCGATTATGAAAACGCACAAGGACCCTTAAGGATAACTGTTTGCACAACAGTGGGCGTCAAAATGCTGCTGATGATGATTTACCTTTACAGCAAATCCTCAAACTGTTTTCCTTCAGCCGCAATACACGCTCGACATCTTCTTAAAAAAGATCGGGTTATTAAACGAGCGAATCCACGGTTATTAACAAACTCAGCTGCTTCCAATAGTCTTTGCCGTAGCTCAGCTACATTTTGAATCGGCTTGAAATACACTTTTTCTTTTACAGTTCCCCACTAAAAAAATCAAAAGGATTCAAATCAGGTGATCGGGCTGGCCACGGTATTGTACCAGACCGCCTTATCCATCTGCCTGGAAAGTTTTGATCGAGATACTCTCTCACTGAGAGTGCATAGTGCGCTGGGCAGCCATCATGCTGAAACCACACGTCCCTGTAAATACTCAGTGGCACGTCCACCAATAAATTTTGTACATGATTTTTCAAAAAATCCAAATAAACTTCAGCAGTCAAAGTCTCTGGGAACTCAAACGGACCGATTATTTTACCATTTAAAATTCCTGTCCAATGGTTTACCTTGAAGCGATATTGAGATTTATCTTCTCTCATCAAATGTGGGTTTGCTACGTGCCACTCGTGTAAGTTATGCAGGTTCATGTACCCATCTTTCTTAAATGTGGTCTCATCCGACCATAAAATTTTTTCAAAGAACTGTGGATCTTTCCTGTGTCTTTCTAACATTGTGCGACAAAAAGCAACTCGGGGCTCATAATCCCGGGGCAGGAGAGGTTGAACACGCTGTATGTGGTATGGATGAAGCACATCACTTACTTGCTATTGCACACTTTGATACCGATCAGTACTCCTTCGTTTACTGCGCATCTTTACATGTTCGTGCTTGTTGATTTCGTACTGTTACTAATTTTGGATTCGTGAACTGGACTGTTGATCGCTTGTGATTTGGATTCGGACTGTTTAATTGCTCTTCAAAACAACATTTGCTTTCCTTAGATTATCTTTGATAGTGTGATTGTGCAGTGCCGCTATGTCCGTGTACACCATACAAGAATATGCTAACATGCACCTCATTGATGGGGAATGCAGATGCAACGCTAGTGCTGCAGCGAGACTTTACTGTGAGAGGTACCTCAATGCAGCTCGTCATCCAGATCATCTTGTGTTCACAACTGTGAACCGCTTACTGTTCTCAGAGGGCCAACTACCAAACCAATCACACGGTGAGGGAAGATCTTTCCTTCCTTACGAAGACGTGGTGCTAGGAGCTGTCGAAGAAGACCCGAGTACTTCAGTGCATGCAATAGAACTAAAAACAGGTGTGCCCAAAAGTACAGCCCATAGAATCTTGCAAAAAAACGTGCTCCATCCATACCACGTACAGCGTGTTCAAGCTCTTCTGCCCCGGGATTATGAGCCCCGAGTTGCTTTTTGTCGCACAATGTTAGAAAGACACAGGGAAGATCCACGGTTCTTTGAAAAAATTGTATGGTCAAATGAGACCACACTTAAGAAAGATGGGTACATGAACCTGCATAACTTACACGAGTGGTACGTAGCAAACCCACATTTGATAAGAGAAGATAAATCTCAATATCGCTTCAAGATAAACCATTGGACAGGAATTTTAAATGGTAAAATAATCGGTCCGTTTGAGTTCCCAGAGACTTTGACTGCTGAGGTTTATTTAGGTTTTTTGCAAAATCATTTAGAAAATTTATTGGAGGACGTGCCACTGAGTATTTACAGGGACATGTGGTTTCAGCATGACGGCTGCCTAGCGCACTATGCACTCTCAGTGAGAGAGTATCTCGATCAAAACTTTCCAGGCAGATGGATAGGGCGGTCTGGTACAATACCGTGGCCAGCCCGGTCACCAGATTTGAATCCGTTAGATTTTTTTTACTGGGGAACTGTAAAAGAAAAAGTGTATTTCAAGCCGATTCAAAATGTAGCTGAGCTACGGCAAAGACTATTGGAAGCAGCTGAGTTTGTTAATAACCGTGGATTCGCTCGTTTAATAACCCGATCTTTTTTAAGAAGATGACGAGCATGTATTGCGGCTGTAGGAAAACAGTTTGAGCATTTGCTGTAAAGGTAAATCATCATCAGCAGCATTTTGACGCCCACTGTTGTGCAAACAGTTATCCTTAAGGGTCCTTGTGCGTTTTCATAATCGCTGTTTAATTAGGAAATTTTGAAAAATTTTCATCAGTTTTTCTTCAAATAAAAATTGTGCATAAGTTAACGAGTAATCTTCTAAGTGTTATACCATTTTGGAATCCTTATTAAATGTGCCAACTTTTAAGGTTACTTGCCAAACTCTCGTAGTACATTTTTTTCCAGTACAGCCAGTTAAAGTTGAGCAAAGTTTTACTTTGGAATACTTGGTTGGGAAATAAGTGGCAATTTTTCCTGAACGAGAAAAGTTGGCAGTAAGGTTGAGACACCAGTTTGAAGATGCATTATTCATCATTACATTGTAAAAATAAAATCCAAAAAAGTTAATATTTGTGGTAGCAGGAGTTGACAGACTGCCGTAGGGTGTGAAATTTCTATATCTTTTTCAAAGACCTATAATTTTAAAAACACATACATAAAATTTTTTTAAATATTTTTCTGATAGCTGTTATGACTTTGCCTATCACCCGGTGTCGGCTTGACGTCGACTTCTGGGACACCCTGTATAATAACCACGTTTATAGTCGCTACTTTAGGGCTCAATTTTGTCCCGTACATTTATTTATTTGTAGCAACGTCCAACAGCCATCGCCAATTACATGTTCGAACTCGGAAAGTTGAGTGAAATTAGCGCATTTGCGAACTCTAGCCATGATAATGCAATGGAACCAACACAGAAAAATCACTGAATATTAAGCAAACATTTTGTTGGGATCCTGATATGACAAAAAAATTCTTTGCAAGAAAGTACGGCTCGCAATGGCAACATTGTATCAGCGTATACTTCCATGATATAAATATGTTTATAAGTTTTTAACAAAATTCAATAAATAATTATGGGTGTTGCATACTATATGCCACTTAGTATAATAATATTTACCTAATTATGTTAGAAGTAGCACGTCCTGACTGAAACTAAGAATTCAATGACAAAACTGTCAAAAAATGAGTTATGTCAAGTACATTACAGACTATGAGAGTAAGGAGACAAACAAATCCTTGACTGGCTACTTCTACCTAGTCTGAATTCGTTATTTGGTTATTTTATTTATTTATGTATACAAAAAATAAAATTGGTCCAAGGGTTGACCCCTGTGGGCCCCCATACTAACCGTCGCTTCTTAAGAACACACAAATCACCATTTCATCTGTAATACTGACCACTTGAGAACGATTGCTTAAATATGATTGCATCAGTTCATTGTTCTGCAGTATAATCCTAATACTGTACATACGAAGGTAAATCCATTTGGTTATTCCAGGTATAGGTTGGAGTGGTCCTCCCAGCCTGATGTCTAGCAGTGGTCCTTCGTCTCCCGGCTTCTCGGAGAGCATTTCTAAGGGCGGCAGCAGTAGCGAGATGTCATCCAGTGTGATAAGCGGCGACGGGTATTAAAACTTATTTTTCAGAGTATTACTACGTACATGCTCGTACTTTACGTTTTTATTTCCTATTTTTTTTTCCTATAAAGCACATAGTGTCGTTTAATATATAAGTCGATTAGTACAAAAAATCTAGATGTTTTAGGTGTATTGAGAAATAAATAGGTTGTTTTCATTAGGTTTGTTTGATTTTTGTTTTAAGTAGGCCATTTAATTTTGAGGCTTAAGCTGAATTGTTGCATATCATGTCAATGAAATAGGCAGTTATTTACTCAAAGAAAAAATTAACCAATAAAATCAAATGAGTTTACAACACTATAATGTTTTTCAAAAACACGTATAAGTAATACTAGTTTTAACTGTTGAAAGTATTGAGTCAAATGTGCCTTGTGAAGTGTCGTTCGTTTTGGGGATTTCTGAGAATGAGGAATACTATATTATTTTTAAAGATTTCATATTGATCTCGCTATTTTACTTTCACTTTCGATAAAATAATACAAAGGAAAATTAATCCATCTGACTTACCATAAAGTGGGCCAGAAAGTTGGCTAAATTAGCAACACATTTTACTTTAGTTTCCTCATCTATTTCAGCGTCAAACAGAGATAATACAGACGCCTCATCTGTCAAATACCATAAATGTTGGCAGAAGTTTTGTCAATTCTTTCGTAAGCCTTCATTGGCTTGAAAAAGCATTAATCCTGGTTAGGTGATTTTACCGCTAAAGTACATTGGAATCACAGTTCCACGTATGCTGTCACAATGTAGTAGTAGTAGTAGAAAGATTTATTTAGCACATTTGGCTACATAAACAGAATAATTGTAAACAACTTCGAACTAGTAAATTCAAGCCATATAGTGTATCATGTAAATGCTGGGCAACCTATAATTGTAGATTTAACAAGTGATTTCTCAATTTTACTTTAAATTTTGTCAAATTTTTCTGGTCTTTTATCTCCGAGTATAATTTATTCTATTCAATCAACCCTTGATGGAATACAGATTTGTAGCATATGTTATACTTTTTGGTCATTAAATGGAAGTCATCTTTATTTCTGGTGTTATGTAAATGATGGTCGGCATTTGATGATGTTAATTTAGTTAGACTTGATGGAAATATATTATTTTTTACTTTATAAATGAATATCATTACAAGATATTTGATAAAATTGTTTACATTGAGCCATTCTAATTTGCTAAGCATTTGCCTAATTGGAGTATATTTATCTTTATTTTGTATTATTCTCATGCACTTATTTTGTAAAATTTGCAGTCTTTCAAAAATGGAATTATTTGCTAAATATAGAATAGTCGAACAGTACAAGAAATTTGGAAGAATGATGGTATTATAGATAATTTTTCTGCTATATGAACTCAGACATCCAGAAACTCTCGATAAATATTCCACTTTACTACTAATCTTATTTATAACTTTTTCATAATGAATATCAAAAATTAATCGAGACTCAACAAAAACCCCCAGGTATTTAAAATTTTCTACGAATTCAATATCTTCACCATCAATATTCAGTTGAACATTTGTACATTGTTTTTTTCCGATTAACAAGGCTTTCGTTTTACTTGCATTTAATTTTAGTCTGTTAGATGCTAACCATTTTGAGACAAGCTTCAAGTCTTCAAGTCTTCAATTATATAAAAGATACCAGACTGAATATTTTTGGTATTTATATAAATCATAGTGTCATCGGCGAAAATCTGAATTTTGCATTTTTTGACTATTTTTTATGAACAGGCAGATATCTAACAATAGCCTTATCCTTATTAGAAAGCTAGAGTTGGGAACTTACTAATGCTATTTTTAATGAATAAATTGTTCTGGCCATCTATCGAGCCTGGCGGTCGAATCTTAGATTTTTTCTCTGTATCTCCGCCAAGGAATATTATTGAAAGTTCTATTAATTCTCGATAGTCATCTCTATCAACTTCTTTGGTCTTTAGTCGGTATATATGCCTTTTCCCAGTAAATAGTGCACTCAAAAATAGTTCATTTTTTAGGGACGCCCTATTGGCATGCAAAATATCTATAACAACGTTTATTTCCTATCTATAGCATATTCCACTACCAACGCCATTTGATTGTACGATAAAATGTCGATATGCAGATATCATCATTCTACTCTCATTTTGAATAAAAAATCTAGCCTTACTGGCAAATATATCAAAAATATAGGCTGCAACCAGCGCCCTTTAAATACTATATTGAAAAATCGTACTTCTCATCCTCAGAAACCAATTTCTATGTTGGAAAATCTCAAAAATTATTTTGATAAAAATAAATAAAATTTCATAAGCCTGAAATCCTCAATTATCTGGTCTAGAGAAGCAAGGTTGTGGAAATATTGAGTTTAAAATGTTTTCAGTTATAAAAGGTAAATAGTTTTCAACTTGGTTATTTATTAACAAAAATGTGTTTCATATTTTTTCTTTATTTGATTTAGACTTTTCCAGAGAACTAAGAACTTGCGTATAGACGAATTTTCAATGCATATTGACAAGTTGAAATGTACATGGTGTTATGAAAGTTGGGTCGTATTAGGAAACAACAGCAGTTTAAATAACAAAACAAATGTGCGGTAAATCAGCAGTGAAAAGGTAAAACTTTCGGAGAACGTACTCACGGTATCTGATCCCGTTTATCATTTAGATCTAATTATGTAGCGAAAAATTGCAAAACTACGCGTTTTTTGCGACTCTTAAGGTGCTAAAAAGCCATTTTTACTATCGATGACGACATTGAAGCGGGGCTTTGCTCAATGAGGTAATTTGGGGCGCTGAATATGCATATCATCGTGAAAAAATTCTAAAGTGTCATCAGACTGGATATAGGGTGAAAATTTGACAGGAAACTATTTTTTCGGGATAGTCGTCATTTCTAGCACTATATCGACATCGAATTTGGAATCTGCGCACCCGATTCACCTAGAAAACAAACTCCCATCTCGATCATAGACGTGCAACAGTTTTTAGATATTTCTTATTAGTAGTTTTTTGACAAAGTTGAATTCTTACTAGTATCTCGAAAACGAGGCATTTTCGGACTGAGTTACAGCGACCCAAAAAGCGTATTATAAGACATGTTGCGCTCACGTTGCCGACTGTCCCATTTTGTGCCTTTTTGGTACCAGTACCCCTAACATGATAATTATATGTTGAAATGTCTTAAATGCGGTACACCCGATAAGAAATTTCAAGCACCGTCCTGTCGCGTGTGGGCTTGAAATAGTTATTGCCGTTTGATTTCAATTCCATTCAGGAAAATAATCTGGATGCACTCAGAAGCATCCTGAAGGCACTAGCCGTAAATGAAAAACGACAAATTCAAAGACTTTCGAATTTTTTAAATCGTATTTGTATATAGACAGATCTGTTAACTTACGTCTTGTTCAGCTAATAACGTTGGGGATGCAGGACCGGAATTAGTGTAGCAGTTTTTTTGGAACCTAATATCTTGGATATCTTGAAGCCTTTTGCTGTCTGAGGTGTAAGGAAAATATGCTTAGTCTTACGAGAATAGTACTCTATACAGGGTGACTTTGAAGTTGAGTCATTAATTTTCAGATAATGATTGTAGAAGGAAGATAAACCAAAATATGTGTGTAAAAATAAAAAATAAAAATTTTACCTTGTTTTATAAAGTATCCTCCCGACAAGTATTTCAGTGCGGACCTGTATTTGATCGTGAGGTCCCCTGTGAGGTCTTAAGTCACCTGATTCACGAGCCCGTTGTACTACATTAACAAAGGCACGAGGGGTTGGTTGCACTCGATTGGGAAACCGATCCGCATAAACATGTGGCATTTTTTATTTCGTTTGAGCCACGCAACACACTATTCACTGACGCTGACTGTATACAAATGAATAAAATAATTGTAAAAACATCGTTTCAAATTCTTTCGCTTTTTTGTTTCCGACGCGATGAACCGATACGGCGGATTATATCCGTTGTCGCCAAACACGAGCACATAATATTATTATTGAGACAGGGCGGTACTCAAACTTCCAAAGGGCTACAACTTTGTTACTTTAATTTTACCAGAAAAATGGTAAAGGAAAAAACATTTCTTTTCATCAGATCTACTCACTATTAAAATAAATGACTCAACTTCGAAGTCACCCTGTATAAAGACCCTGTAGGTTTGGACTTGCCTTATTCATTTATAACAGTTCACGTAGAATAAAATACTGGTAATTTCAGCAGTGTTTCTTATTTCTCTGGACCATTTCAACTGTATTAGCATTTAGGGGCTTACTATGCTAAGTAAATTTGTGCATGTTGCATGGCTGGTAATATAACATCTATAGAAAATTATTATTTAACTGTTCATTGCATCAGAAATTACAAAGGATATCCATAACACACAACATAGTTTGTCTATTAACTATAATTCATTCTTGTTACATAAATTATTGCATGCGAGTTTTATTTTCTTGAGGTGTTTGTCACTGCTTGCTTATATCATCCGAACCATTTGTGTGCTTCTACTTTCGAAGCCCCTGGGCGTATTATAATCGTGAAATGAAATTCGAAAATGAGATATTGTGTTTTTTTTGATGTTATATGACAGGTACAGGGTGACCAACTAAGAATGCGAGATACTGTATGTTGGAACCTATCCGTCGCAGAGGCTTGCCGCAAAAAAAGTTCTGACTAAAACGGCCAAGTGAAAAACCTCGAAAATATTTTCAAGTTTCCGAAATGGCCGCTAGGGGGCGTAAAATCAATCTTGAATCTAAAAAAGTGATGTTTCTGTCAATTCCGCTAGCTCACAAAAAAATACCTGATCTTTAAAGTCGAGGATAATGGGAAGTTTTTTGTTTGCCAATTTTGGTGGGTGTAATCTAAGGTTTTAGTGATAACTTTTTTTGTCTTGGCCACCCTGTACAGTGTTAATCTACTTGACACCCTTTTCTCAATCCTTCAACTTCGGCTTTATTTCATTCAACACTGCCTATAACAAACAGTGCGTCATTATCATCATGGATACTCGTCAATTCCTCATCTTTGGTGTACTGAGAAGCACCTGGTTCTGAGTACACGAGCAGTCTATTTTCTCTTTTTTATAGCCTAAATGTAGACAATCTCACCAAAATATTCCCTACGGCCCCTGGATTAGATCAAGATTTGGGAAATGTGTGTATGCTGTTGGATTCGTTTGATAGAGATTCATCTTCATCCGCTTTGGAGCTGTCTGACTACTACTCAGGAGTCATTCAAACACAAGGTGAGTACAGCCACTGAGATGCAAAAGGAGTTGTATACAAAAAATCACCTAAACAGCAGCACTGCTTCCTCAATTTCAGGTGTTCTTACACTTAGAGGTTTACCTTCAGATGTTCCTTTTCGGACTGAACCCGTTTCAACAAGACGACGATGAATATTACAGTATATTCAGATAAGAGATAGACCGGACATAAACAAGACCACGTGATCATCGAACGCTGTAACATTCGGCAGGGACGTATTAAGAGTCACGCAGTACATATTTTAGATAGTAGATGCTGCTTTGCGTAACTTTGTAGTAAATTAGCACAATTCGATGTGTTTATATTTGGTGATAGATATAGGATCATGTGGGGGTGGGGTAAGAAATATATAATGATGTAAATATACATAAGGGTTTCAAAATTTTCGCTTCGATTTCCAGCTTCGGATGCCGCCTGATGTTTGGTGAAATACAGTCGAATATAATCTCAAAATGGCGTTTAAATTAGCCTAAATTAAAAATAATCGTATATCTCTTAAAATTGCTTTTAGAATATTGATTAGTATATTTTTTGATTTCTAGGTAAATATGTAACCAAATTAAAACGTTCAAAACGTAAAAAAATGTGCATGGTTGAACATTGTCAGAAAGTAGATTCTTTAATAGGTTTTGCCAAAATGGGTTCAAAAATGTCAATAATTAATTAAAAAATACAGTAGCTTTATAATTACTTATAACGTACCGAATTTGATGAACGACATCATTTATTGGAAAGATGAGCTTGATGAGCTTTCATCATCGCTACTGCCTGAAGCACCAACGTCAATAATGAATGGCTCGACTTGTTCCTCTAAAATATTCTCCAGTTCCCACATTCTCTTTTCAACTTTGTCTTTCACGTGCTTAATACAGTTTTCCCATTTTTGCGCTGTTATTAATTCTAGTGCTTCTTTGAAAAGTCCTTTGAGGTCACAAAATTTAAAAGTTGTATTGTGCTTGGCTATATATTAATATAAGCTCGCAATGGTATGGAGGTAAACGGAGCACAGTTTTATTTTGACTTGCTGCCATTTCGTCAATGGCGTATTTTTGATATTCCGCCTTGTGATCCCTGACAATTCTTAATAATTGTACTTTCAGCATTGCTTCTTGAAAGTTGATATTTTTCGAGCGGAGCCAATTTTGAACATCAACTTTCCTTGAAGCCGTTGTTGGGACCTTCTCCATTCTTCGAGAATGATAAGGCGCGTTATCCAACACAATTACTGCGTTTTCCTCTAAGTTCGGTAAAATTTTTGAAAACCACTGTTCAAACGATTCGCCATTCATTTCCTCGTGGTAATCTCCAGTTTTCTTAGACTCAAAGCACCACAGACCGTCAACAACAAATCCATCCTCACTGCCAATATGGCAGATAATGAGCCTTTTCCCTTTACCTGGAAATCGAAGTACTAACTGGTGTAGATTTATTTCAATAAGCGAACCTTTTTCAAATGTTTTCATCACATTCAGCGAAAAAACATTGAGACATGAGTATCAGATTGCTATAATTGGGATTATTTAGTCATATTGAAAGAAAGAATATTGAACGTCGTATGATTACTCAGCGCTTCACAATTTAATTTAAAGTTATAAAACTTTAAAAAATGAATGTTCAGGAACCTGAAATACGCGCAAATATTAATATTAACAAATTATAACTTTATAAAGCTTAAAGTATGAATTAAAATGATTAGAAATATTAGGAACGGTACACAATATAAAACTTAGTAACTTTTTTTAAGTTTATAATATTCGACATATTTTAAGATTATATTAAAAAATTATTGAAATATCGAAAACACATAAAAACATGGCTTAAAAAAGTTCTAACAAATGAAAATGACAATAAAACATCCACGCATTTTATCGAAAGTTATAAAAGTTTTGTTACTTGTAATATGTTTTATCTGCCCCCTGGAATTAATGTTTAGAACCTTGTTCCCAAGGTTTGAAAAACATCCGATTGTTGTCTATTACTCGTATTTACCTGCTGGATTTTTTAATCCGGTGGACAGTCCATCTAGAAAGGCCCTCCTGGATGAAGTTACAGAATCATCAACCCATACTTTACTTGTAGTGTGTCCTGCGTTTACCCACGTTTCATCAAGGTAATAAATCTTCCTGTTTTGATTTCTATATTTCCCAATTTTTGTTAAATAATCCCTCCTCCATAGCACAATTTCTTCTCTATCCAGTAGACTATTACGACCCCGTTTTTTCCATTTGAAATTTAAATGCTTCAGTAACGCATGGAAAGTTGATCGTTTGAAATTTGGCAACGTTGTATCTCCATTTACCTCCTGCAGTACTTTATCTATAGTAGGTATTTCATTCCTAAAGAAGAATTCATGCACTTTCCTCCTAATCGCATGCTTATCAGCTTCATCCAATGATTTAACAATACTTTTGCGATGTTTACTGGTCATTGGCTCAGAAAAGGTGTTATTTTTTTTGTATTGTCTTAACACATTAAACACTGATGCGCGACACACCCCAACTTTGTGAGAAACCTTCACAACAATTTCTTTGATGGTTGATGCCTCGTTCTCCTCGCGCTCGATCTTATATATATTCAAAATGACCTCTTTCATTTCTGCACTCAGGTGTCTTTTTTTAGAGCGTTTCCTAGGTGGACTACAGGAGTTTACAACTTCATCGGCAGTATCTGTACTACTGGGCATTTTGCGCAAGCAGTTGATAACAATAACAATCAATAACAAGGTATAACAATAACAACGACAAACTCAACAACTGAATAAGATAACAAACGAAAACGTCCAAAGAAATATCAAATTGCAATGATGCACACGACATACGTAACACGTCTGAACCTGAATGTGCATAGGCATAGGCATTTAATTGCGAATTGACCAATGAGGGCTCCTGTTTTACGTCGAGACGGCGGCGTTAGCGTGAAAATCACCCGAACCTTTCGTTTACATTCGGTCTATCTCTTATCTGAATATACTGTAGAAAAGGTTCGACTATCTGGCAAAGCACGATCGGGATGTCTCTGGTGATAAATCCGTCTGGCTTGCTCACCTTTACCGTCGGCAAGGCCATATACGTAATGCATTTCCGCCATTTCTGCATTTGAATAATTCACCATTATTAGCAAGATTGTGAAAGCTAAATAATGAAAAAGATGTCACAGCGAACAGATTTGAATAATAGAGACTTATCAGATGTCAAAAGCCAGTGACATATTCCAGAGCAACTAGATATTTATTGCTAAATTGCATTTTTCAATCATTACATTAATTTTCTCGGATAATAGAACGATTTTTATTTTTTTACTCACAAATGGCGCATCTAAGGAAAACAATTCCAGAGAGATCATTTGTTTTAAATCGAACGGGGAATTAAAAAATAATTTGTATTTGGTAAAAAACCATTGGCGTACCATTTTTGAAGCACAAACCAAATTGCCGGCTAGGACAAACTGAGAAGTCAGTGACATCGTGTAGATAGCGCTAGTATCTTTCAGATCCATTTTCGGACGCCTGAATGCAGTATCAAGTTGGTCAGGTAGAATACCTTAAATACTGATAAAGGTTTTTACGATTCCAGGAGGAGATAGCGGTGGTACCGGAGATATAACACCGGTATCATGCAGTTCTGAGGCCGAATTTAACACGATAGATGCGACGGCAGAATCGGGTTCGACAACAACAGACGTCACAGTCACCGAGGAAATCATAACCACTATCACTCGCGATAGCATAGACCCGGAAGAAACGATTACTACAGCGAGATTGAATGCGATATTCATCTCGAAAGAAAACGTTACCGTATTGGAAAATAATCTGTTTGAACCACCATCGACTGCAACATCATTATCACCAATCAATTCTAATGTGAACGTTTATACGAATGTTCTATACTCGCCGACCGCTGAGTGCAAACACGTAGAAAACACAGAGAGATCGCAACCGTCTTCTAGCAGATCATATGATTTTGATTTGAAAAGTTTCATCAAGAAATCGAACTACGACAAGGACTTTTCTAATCCTATCATTAACATCAACAACGCGATAGGAGATAAGTGGTGTACTAATAAAGAGAAGTTTCTGGAGAACAAGAATTTTTCGAAAACTGATAACATCGATTTCGGGAAAAATTTGAACATACACAAAGAAAAGAAAGTTGAGAAGGATATCGAGCTGAAAAAGATAACACCTGGAACCATCGTTGTGAAGGAAAGTTATATTGACGTGCCCAAGATCACCCGGGTGTCTAAGAGTTTCCATGGAAAATCTTCTACAGATTGTCAACATTCGGGTGAGTAAATTATTTTTGTTTTATAGAAAAAAATGTTAACACCACTAAGTTATTAAGTCAATTTGCTTGGTGTTTTTATACAATAGTAAGATCTATAATCAACGTATCGAAAAACGAATGCTTTTGTAGACCAGGATATCTGGAATTTGAGAAAAAAAATGTAATAACCTGTTTTACACCGGAATTATATTCATTTCATTTCTTACCTTTTTCTGTAGAATTGTGTTTCAAATTTAGAAAGAAGCTCAAAAGACTCTACACTCCCCGATTTTCGAGAACAATTTTGAGCAGCTTTGTCAGGAATAGCTTCTGTTGATATTGGAACCTCATCGGCATCAGAATCTTCGAAAAGTTCTTGTATTTAAACTGGATTTGCAATTTTCTGGCCTGAATCTGGATCTTCATCATACAAACTTTCATCTAGGTTCAAAAAATCATAAAAGTTTTCATTACGACCCTATTTAAATAAATTCTTATTTCATCGGTCGTCTGGTGCGTAAATTCGAGGCAACAGGTTCTGTGGCAAATCTGCCAGGCGACGTTATGATCTTGGAATTTTTCCTTCCCAAACCTTAGGACCAAATATATGGAGATACAGACGTGTGAACTATGACTAATAGGTACTTACGAATACCGGAGCTAGGAGGATCTAAATATAAAGGGTTGTCCAATAGGGACGCAGGAAAGTAAACGTCAATTTGATATAGACGCCATCTTTGTTTTCTGTCACCGACATGTCATTTTGTTAGTTGAATGTTTACCATTGATCGCTATGGAGCCTTATTCGATTGAAGACCGCATTAAAGTTATTCAAGAGCACTACAAAAATGGTGCAAAAATAAAAAACACGTTTCGCGCGCTTCGTGAACATTTCGGTCCCAACAACCGCCCAAACGAAACAACCATCGGTCGTCTGGTGCGTAAATTCGAGGCAACAGGTCCTGTGGCAAATCTGCCAGGCTCTGGCCGGCCAAGGAGCGTTCGCACACCGGAAAATATTGCTGTTGTGAAGGAGAGTGTGAGAGACGATCCGAAACAATCAACAACGCGTCGATCCCAAGAATTGGGCATTTCGAGAACCAGTTTGCTCCGCAGTCTCCACAAGGATTTGAATGTACACGCCTACAAGATCCAATTGACGCAAGATCTGCGTCGGGCCGACCATTTTTCGCACCGAACGTTCTCAGATTGGCTCCTTGAACACCGCCAAATTGATGCCAATTTTTCATCAAAAATCATGTTCAGCGACGAAGCGCATTTCACTTTGAATGGGACGGTAAACAAGCAAAACTGCCGCATCTGGGCGAACGAAAATCCCCGTGAGTATCAAGAGCAGCCGATGCATCCTCAAAAAGTGACTGTGTGGTGTGCATTGTGGTCAAAAGGCATCTTACTTTTTCGAAAATGCGGCCGGGGACGCCGTTACCGTCAATTCTGAGCGTTATCACGTGATGATAGAGGACTATTTTTTGCCGCAACTTGAAGGAATGGATATGGACGATGTTTATTTCCAACAAGACGGTGCAACATGCCACACAACCAACGTCAATATCCATCGATTGCAGTCCTTCTTCGGTGATCGCGTGATTTCGCGCAGAGGAAATGTGCCATGCCCGCCAAGATCGTGCGATTTGACTCCCTTGGACTTCTTTTTATGGGGATATTTGAAAAGCAAAGTCTACATCAACAAACTAGCCACCCTCCAAGAACTCTAAAACATCATTGCCGAGATAAATGCCATAGAACCGACCATGTTGCAAAATATCATTGAAAATTTCGACCATCGCGTGGACGTCTGTAAATCCAGTCGTGGTGAACATTTGAGCGATATTATTTTTCATACATAAATGGTATAAATGAACCTTCAAAATAAAGTACCCAACTTGATTTGAATATCAATCCCATACAATGCAAATTATATGAAAGTCGGTCGGGACCATGAGAACCTGTTAAAAGGGGGTGTCGGTGTAAGAGGGGTGTCCGCGAAGGGTAATTTCAAGTACATCTTCATTTTCAGACATGAATCCAAGACGAGCCAGTGATTCACCGTCGCAGTATAGAGATTCAAGCAACGCTTCTAGCAACTGTATGAAATCTAAAAACAACTTAGAAAAGACAAAGGCATCGAAAAGACCACAATTCTTGACTCAAATGTCACAACCTAATGAAAGTGTACTGGCATCGTCGCAGCCTAGGAAGACTTCTCTGTCCGAAATGGTAAATATATCATTATAAATTCCGAGTTTCCGCGCAGAGATTAAATTCGTGATAATATTATATTTTGACCTTCAAGGTCATAGCCAAGGTCACCATCAGATGTGCCGTTGGGTGTCATGCAATTTTCGCATTAAAAGTTCTTTAATATCCTTTTTCCAGCTATCCGCTGCTTTACATCATTTTATGAAAGAGCAACAATTCACCGTGAAATAACCATTAGATAAAATTTTAGTCCCTTCGATGTTTGTACTCTTAAAATTTTTCTTGGCTTTCTATTTGAGCAATATAAAATGGTGGTTACCATTTGAGACATTGAACTTACCCTTGAATTGACCTTCAAGATGAATCTCAACGTCAAATCCAACCACCACCAGATGGCCATTAGATTTCCTGAAATTTTTGTATCTAAAGTTCAATATACAAAAAAAACCTTTCCTAGGCATCACTTTTAGAGGGAATATTTCATGTACGACGCACATGCTCACGTTGGGCGCGTGACAACCACTGCTTCATTAAATTAGTGGCAGGTACCGATGAATACGCCGCAATCCATATTTGACTTCCGGTTTTATTTAAAAAACAAAAAACAATTTTACCTACCGTAGGTTCCAAAACCACCCAGATTTACAACAACAAGAGTGGACGAGGCGGCGCATGCAGCGTCAATGGGTATAACCGTCAGTAAATCGAACACTACCGAGGAATCAGCACCCGCTTGCTCCGTAACTACTACTGCTTGCGTTACTGAAGAATTGTTAGACGATGGTACCAATGAAAAATAAAAAAGTCACCCAGCAGTATCAAAATTCAGATCATAAGCATGAGATGTTACAATGTTGAATAGACAGGATGATCATTTATTGAAAGTTTATTTTTTTTATAAATATGATTATAGCTCTCTATGAAAGTGTTTACTGTTTTAATGTACATTTACGTCTTTTATTCCAAACATGTTAAACGTTCCAAAAAGTATATGTTCTCTCAGTATTGTTCGCATTTATTAAGTTGTATTTTTAGACAATAAAGTATGTGACGCTTTCTCTTGTCTTTTGCATTATGTCACCAGTAGCTTATGTTTCTAACTTCGCAAATTTATTTGGAGAACGTCTCAAACGGTAGCACTCGACAACGGAGATATTCCAAGGAAATTAACTTCACAAAGAAGACGACACAAAACATCCGGAAAAGGGTGTACAGGGAAATTGGCTGAATTTGCAGATGTTATACAGGGTGTTTTCAAAGTTGAATCATTTATTTTAACAGCTGGTAGAACTCGTCAAAAGAAGTTGATTTACAAAAAATTACCTATATACTTGGTGCACCATCTATTATTTTTTTTTACCTATAAGTTTATGTGTTACCATGTGGGTCAAAAGTCATGTGGTATGCATAAAGGAACTGTCAAAGGTATGCCATTTATAGTCATGGATTCGTTTACAACACAACAACGCATTTTGGTTATCCAAACTTATTACGAAACCGGTCGAAATATAAAAATTACTAGTTTTGGCTCTTTTCTGATGAGGTTCATTTTCACCTCAATGGGTACGTAAATAAGCAAAATTGCAGATTCTGGGGGGCTGAAAATCCACACCAATATGATGAACAACCTGTCCATCCTGAAAAAGTGAGTGTTTGGTGCGGGTTATGGGCTGGTGGCATCGTTGGACACATTCTTCTTTGAAGATGCCGAAGAAAAGGCCATTACTGTTAACGGGGAACGTTATCGCGGCATGTTAACAGCCTTTGTGGCCACAATTGGGTCGTATTGGTGCCGACGATCTTTGGTGTCATCTCAAGACGGAGCAACGGCTCACACAATCGCCTTATTGCACACGAAATTTCAAGACCGCATAATTTCACGAAATTCAGTTGGCCCCCGAGATCGTGCGATTTAACACCTCTTGATTATTTTCTTTGGGGATTTTTTAAAGGAAAAGTGTATGCGAATGGTCCCCGGACAATTCAAGACCTAAAGCGCAATATTCGGACTGAAACTGCGGCCATAGACCCGATTATTCTGGGAAGTCATTGAAAATTTTAATGTTCGGATGTTGCACGTAAACGAAGCCGCGGTGGTCACAGACTTGATGTTATTTTTCATACATAAATCGCATAAACCAACCTTCATTTGACGCACCCTGTAAAAGTCGCATAATATGTCAGATATTACTAAATATTATTAAAAAAAAAATCATTATCAAGTTAAATGGACAGTTTTTACAAAACGCAAAATCTGTGTAATGACATTCTTATTTTTTAATCTTTTACCATGCAACTTTTATTTAGGCGATTTTTGGTATATCAACGTCTTTTGAACAGTTCTACAAGCTGTTAAATGACTCAACTTTGTCTCTCTCTCTATAGACACAAAGTTACACAATGGACTTCCACTTCCACATATATTCGAGTAAAACCTATACTCCGTTATACAGGGCGCGGCAGAGAGGATGGACGGTTTTAGAAAAATAATAAAGTAGTTAATTTTTTCTCGAAAACAAATTTATTGATGGAATCAGGTTCACAAGCAAATAGGATTTGAGACAGTCAAGTGTGGAAAATCACATCAGGCCGAAATCGTTGATGCAGTGCTGGAGGCGTTCTTGGAAGTTCGCGTAGACTCTCTCCAACATCGCTCTCTCAACTTGGGCGACTTCCACGCGAATTTCGCCCTTCAATTCGTCCAGAGTTCGGGGCCTGTTCGCGTATACTCTAGCCTTGAGGTGGCCCCATAAGAAAGTGCAGCAGCATGTTTCCGGGCAGATCGAGTCGGACTGCGAAGAAAGACCTG